GTTTGGACAGTATGTGTGTGTGTGTGTGTGTGTGTGTGTGTGTGTGTGTGTGTGTGTGCACATGCTTGTGTGTTGTAGGATAGGGGGACTGTTACTATTTTTACACCTCTCTTGGTTCTTATTCTCTTTGGTTTGTTTGTGCAATTCAGGATTTTCAGCATGGAAGTGCTGTCAAAGATGAAGGGAAATCTTCCACCGAGGAGAGATGCTCTCTGCATGTTTGACCATTTGAGGAGCCCCTTAAAGTGTGCAGCACGCAGTGTTGCACAAAGAGCATGACTGATGCTGTCTTGATTCTCCAAAACCAAGCCAGAAACAAAATCCAGCGCTCCGTAGTGAAACACATCAATAAAAGAATTGCCACATGTAATGTTTTTTACATAAATGTTTATAGTACAGTCAATAAGCCTGCTGTAAACAATAAACTCACCACAGCATTAGAGAACTCTTTACAGCCTCTTCCCCAGCTTTACTAAAGTTGAATATGTTGCTTGGGTTAAGTAAAACACATGTTGCAGCATTGTACTTAAAGCTACACTAATCAACATTTTTATATTAATGAAATGTGAAAGGGTAACTTCACTCCGAGGTATCATCCGACTGCAGTTCCCTTCAGCTCGTTTAGCATCTTACTTTAGCATCTTTTAGCATTAGTTGCTTTGATTTCACAGACCACAGCTTGATGGGTTTGTTTTAGTCTCATTGCTTTGACCAGTCTCATGTGAAGCAGCAGCAGCAGACTGAAAAACTCATATGTTTAAATACAATTCTTTTTGGCACAAATGTGTTTTACTGAGGCTCCAAAGTGCTTCCCCCTATCTAGCATAGAGTGCTAATTATGCAGACAATTAATAGATCCCGTCTGTCCCTCCCAGTGGAGAGCAGTCAACATGGGCCACAGGGCTGAACCTCTCATCCTCACCTTGCTGCTGTCGGACTCGGCCTTCCACACACCCACTCCTCTGTGCAGACAAGTCTGTCAACTCCATTTAGCACTCCAACTGCTGAAGTAGTATCATGCATTGCTAAGTGTCTCTGCTGCTGGCATTCCCACTGTGCAAGGAGCAGAAACACCAGCTTGACACACTTTTTTCTCCCCTCTCTTCCCTCCCCTAGCTTGGCTGTCTTCCACGTACACACATTCGCACATATAGGTAAACATATACAGTATAATCACACATAAAGGTAAACATATACAGTATAATCACACATGAATACACTTACACAAGCTGACAAGTGTCTGCTGCTATAGCAACGCTGTCAGTACTGTTCTTGCCCTTTGGCTGCATTGAGCATGACATTGAAGCTGCAAAGCATTTGAAGTACAGTCATGCACATGCACACATGAAACCACTTCTTTATACAAACTTGCACATGCATTCACATTTGCACAGTACTTACCATCACACAGATACAAGCACACACATAGAGCGACATTTGGAGCAAGTCTGATTTGTATTTTTATATACATATATATTTCTCTGGGTCTCCAAGCTGAATTTGCGACAGTAAATTGTGTAAAATGCTGACAGTGTAGCAGTCCAAAATATTCATCATACTTCATCATGATAAACACTGCCATCTGCAGCACAAACACTACAAATGCATTGACAACCACAACATGAGCCTGTTGTCACTGGGGAAGGCTTCTCACCACATTATGGAGCTTGATTGTTACTTATCCTACTTTCATTGATATACACTGGATGGACAAAATCATTGAAACACTTGTCAGTATAATGCAGTACAGGTCAACATCACCATAACTACAGGCTTCAAAATAACCACCAAGTTGCCTCAACACCTCTCTAAATCAGTTTCAACAAGAGCTTGTGGATGCCAGCATAGCAGATGCTGGTATGTCATTATGTTTAAGGTCACTTCACTCTGAATTTAATATATGTTCAAAGATTTAAAGGATCACTTCACACTAAGATTGATGTTTTGATTTTTTAAACACCCACAATGTGTAACTCATGAATGTATGGTCTCAGGACCTGTACTTATTTTGTGCACTACTTATCAGCTAGCTTTAATGAGTCGTGAGCAAGCTTATCAGTTCAGCTTGCATAGCTTGCAGAAGTTACTTCCAGCACTCATAAATGTGTCTTGTGTGAGAAGGAAAAGGGAGTGCGGCACCCAGGCACCTGGCGGCCCCACTCAGTATCAAGGTCTTGCTGTCCTTTTGCTGTAGCAAGGCAGCTGGGGAAGTCGTTATAATGTAAGATAACAGTATGAGTTTCAATGGATGTGTATTGTACTACTTGGGTATAAAGGGACTGCCCCTTTTGCCAGTGACTCAGAGAACTCAGAGAACTGTGCATTTCTGCCAAGTTGTGTATGATTTCTCTCCATGCATGAAATAAAGAATCATCTAAAGCTACTCTTCAGTCTCCAGACATCTTCTTTGGGTCCTGTCTCAGTTCCCTACCACAAGCTGAACATTATCACCTTCGTGGATTTATTTCAGGAGTGTTGGGTGTGTTGGATTGGATTGGATTGGATTGGATTAGATTAGACTGCATTAGTTTTACCTAGGTGTAGCTAATAAATTGCCAACTGTGTGTAGTTAAATGTGGTGTTTTACTGGACCTTTAATATTTAGAGAGGGTTCTAATTTTCACACTCATATACATTAGGGGGCAGAATATTAAAATACGTCTTAATATAATGCAGTTTGGTTGGAGACCATCACTATCTGTGACTTCTATGCTAAAACAGAATCTAACTGACACCTCTATGACAGTGGCAGCAACGGCAGACTTTATGGCAAAGCGGCTGTATGGGGTTGCATTAGATTGCACAAGAGAGCCTTATGAAGTGGCCACTGAGTGTGTGCAATACATGTATAAGCTGAGCAAAGAAAACTTCAGGACCAGGGTCAGCAACACACAGCCACAGTGTAATGAGCACATGTGACCACTGGAGGGAGATACAACTCCATATTAGCAGCATTTCAAACACCTTAATATCATCAGTGTGTCCTCTGTGCCTTACTTTGTATTAGAACACAAACTTTCAGTCCTGTTGAGGTGTCCCAGGGATCTTACAGTGACCCCTGACCTGTCTTACATCAAAGAAAGAGAAAAGAAAAGTTGAGCTTATCTATAATCACACAGTACATGATATGGGAAGGACAAATTTCAGTTTTGGAGTCTGAGTCATTACTCTCTTAATCCCTAGGGTGCTAGAAGGCATGGCTCACCTAAACAAACATACTTAACATAAATCAACATTAGCTCCACACCTATCAGAACAATATGAATAATCTTAGTCTCGATGAATAAATAAAACTCTAACCATTAATATGCCTGAGTAAATTGTGATAAACCAAGGTAGACATTTATATATTTATCCTTGCCTAAAGTTTTTCTAGACAGCAGAAAACATCATGATAGCAATGATCCCATGCATGAAGACGACACTGAATTTATTCAGCAACTCCTTGACTACAGTTGTACCAAAGTAGATAGAAATACCATAAGCACATAACACTCTACAAGGGATTTAGTAAGGACAGAACCTGGCAAACTGCCAACTTGACCATTTGACCAAAAGTGTGTCAAATGTTTTTTTTTGTTTTGTTTTGTTTTGTTTTTTAGCTCTTGAAAGTGAATCTGGCTACAAAAAATGACTGACTTCTATGAGAGGATGTATTATGATCACTGACCATAAAAAAAACATGACTAAGCAGCAACTTGTTGATACAGTGATCACTACTAATCTATGAGTTTCTTTGACATTATGTTTTTAAAGGCAACATATCATGATAAAAAAAATACCTAAAAATTTTGTAAGGAAATATATTTAAATGTGAAAAAAAGTCTCAGAAAATATTGTGATATGTAATTGTACTCTAACTGCTTTCTGTTCACTTACATGGATATGCCACAGTTCTAGCTCCTTCCAGTTTGCACATGCATAATTGCACATTGACTGTTGACTGCTGCACATGCTGCTCCCATGCAGCATACATTCTCTTATTATATTCTTATATATTTTTATTATATTGGTGCTTTTGCTGCTTAAAGTGCCTTAGATTTTGTGTTACTTATTTATCTACTTTATATTTCATTTGTATTTTGTGGCATTCATGTGGACGGCAAAGTAAGAATTTCATTGCACAGGGAAACACATTTCTTAACAGTGCATATGGCAAATAAACACTTTGAACTACATTTCTGTCTTAAATTTGCTGCATCACATCCAAGCACTGGGTGCACTCATACTGAAACTGGCTTTTATCAGTGCAAGACAAAATAATATTACAGGCCATGTAAAGGTTTATAATGGAAGATACAAATAATACGAAACCTATTGTCAAGTAACTCCCATCTCTTAAAAACACTTTTTCCATGAAATTCAATAAATTAAGTTGCAAAAAGTGAAAATAAACTGACTTAAAATACAGCAGAACAAGACGTTTTTTTCTCCGAAACCAACTCAAACACAGTGAAACTCTCAAAATGCAAAACTAGTTCAAGTCTTCTTCGGTTAAAGTATTGCAGGAACTGTCATGATCGCTTAGGCATAACTGCAAAATAATAAACAACAAGCATATCAATATAAGCTTATAAACATAATAGGCCTATTTTTTTAAATAGCGCCTCTAATATTTAGATCGAGTTGCCTGAAAATGTGTCAAATTAAGTAAGACTGCTTGAATGATCACTTGATTTGAATGAAAAAATAACTGGGAGAACGCAACTGCTGAAAACTACAAAATGGGATCCAATACTATCGACGCACTGGCCATGACAAGAAGTCAGCCCACTGACAGTAAACTAGCTGGTGCACGCTACTTCCTAATGGTACACCAAAGTCAAAACACTGAGAAAACATCTCATTATTTTGAGTTATTAAGTCATTATTTTGAGATACCGGATAGTTTTAGTTTTCATCCCAGTGGCAGAAATGGGCGTCCACATCACGGCACAGTCAAGTAACGTGTTTCCTTGTTTATAGGCGCTAACCAGTAAAACATAACTATGTAGTGGGTGAACTATCTAGATTTAATCCAACATCTTTGGTTGAATGAGTGACGTATCCGGAAGTTTTGGCGTCTAGCACAAACTTCCTGATACGTCACACACAAAATAAAAAAATACAACGAAACGCTTTGCAAGAATCCTTTCATTGGCTCAAATTTCCGGTCAACTTTTCAGGAACCATGGGAGTTTCTTCTTTCCCGAGTTAAGTGCAGGCTTTCAAACAAGGCATTAACAGAAATGATGGACCAGGGGAATGGGACGTAACGTTACTAAGTAGATTATCAACAACCGTCGTTTTCTCCACTGTATTTAGTGAGCGTTGTCGTGTCGGTACAGTAGCTAACATATACGGTCACAGCTGTTATTGTAACGTTAGTTCGTCGTTTCAGATGCGTTGCTCCGCTTGTAATGACGTGGTAATAGCCGCTTCTCTGTCAAACGGATGCTACTGTCTTCATACTGTCGCAGTCATTACAAGGAACCCGAGGAGGATATATATCCTGTAACACTCTCCGCGGGGCCAGTGACAGCCTGCTGTAATCACTCCACAACCTCTTGTCCAGGTGTTGGACTGGGAAGCAGCAGAGCATGGAAGATGAGGTGTTTGACCAGATTGTGTCCGTGTTTAACAAGCTGGTGTCGTGGGTCGCTGCTGGTGCCATGGTGTTCGGAGGGGTGGTGCCCTACATCCCCCAGTACAGAGACATCCGCCGGACCCAGAATGCAGAGGGCTTCTCCACCTATGTGTGCCTAGTCCTCCTGGTGGCAAACATCCTACGAATACTCTTTAGGTAGATTCCCAAACTGTTCACTCACACCAGACCAGCTTCTGTGGTATGGCGACTAAACTCCATTCAAAAATCTTCTAATTGAATGCTTTCCATCAGCCAATGGATATACTTTGTAGAGCAGTACTTGGTATGTTTAAAGAATCACTGAGGTGTTCTCTGAAATTTGTCATATAAATCACCTGTCTGGCAACTTCGTATTTGGTTCTGATTTGTTGCTGAAAACTGCATGGATGGTGATGGAAACAGTTATAGCTAACAACCACCAGAATTTCATAGATGGTGTGCTTGCTCAACTAGAGTGGTCGTTAGAGTTTTGTAAATGGCCTACAGTGATGATTGGGTCTTACTGAATTAGTTAATTTGGAATTTCAGTGGGTATTAAGGCACATGGTCTTGGGTTCTTGACTAGAGGGGTCTGAAAAATCTCTTTTAAATGTAAATGATCTTAAACTGCACACTAACACAGCTGTCCTTAAAGACAGTGCACTTATCTGTGTTATCACTTTTCCTTTAATTGCTAAACATAATCAAATCAGGCAGGCAGTTGGAGGGCGCTGAGAAAGCACAAGCACACTGGGAACTATGGGTCTTGTTCACCAACTGTTTTTAAGATCAGATTTGTTTGTAAAACCCACTTACAAAGTTTTCAGGAAACTGCTGGCAGTCACCAGTGTTTTCTTATCTGGGATTACAGCAAGCAGTTCATTGTTTTAAGGTTTGAAAGTTAATTTAACTTTTACAGTGTGCTTATTTGTAGCACACTGTAAAAACCAAACATATTTAAGCGCATATCTTCATTTCCAAGTGTCTCTTAGATATTTTGGCCAGTGTTGAGGCTGTCGAAGGTAAACGTTCGGTTGCCCAGCACCACATCTGAGATCAAACTCGGGGCAGTTAAAGGAGCCTGGGTGCATGCACTGAGGTCTGCTCAGCTGACAGCACCTGAGAGAGCCGTGTGTTGCCCTGATGCATTGGTCCAGCTCAGATAACTCTGGGCCAGCCTGACCTCCTCCACTGGTCAGCGCCTCTCTTCTGTGTTTGTTTTGTTGCCTCAGATTTGAGCGCAGACCATCTTTTTACTTCATCAGTCGTACACCCTTCTCCTTATAAAGTGTTCACTGAATGAGTAAGTGCATCCCATATGTCTTTTTTGTCTTATTTTATGTGCACTACTTGTGCTACTAGATATGGCTTCTTATTCATTGTTGTCCACTTCATAACTACTCAAGTTTTTCTGCGGTTTGGAGTTTGTTGTTCCACCATCTTTACATTTTTGTCATAGAAATTCTGCTCATAGCTTGCTCAGCTTCTCTATTCTGTTTCTGTGCATATGGCCCTGCAGTCTCATGCTCTTTTAACTGTCGGTGCATTAACCTGTGCTAATTAGGAACAACCAACACACGTTTTCAACTTGCAAACCCATGGGATTTTATCAATATAAGAACAGGGGCGCGAATAATTCTGCAGTTTAAGAACACGTTCATGAATCAGACATAGACTTTTCTTAGGACCTTTCTTAAGAACAACCTACAAAGACTTTTAAGAAAACATTTAGGAGGATGTTGATGAATGAGACCCATTGTCCCTTAATAGCAAATATACCCTAATAGGGTAGTTCTGGCTAGCAGGCATAAACACAGCAGTATCTGCTGTAATATCTTCTTAAACTTGTGGAGAAGACAGCTGGAATACGCTCCAGCTGATCATCACTTTACGCAGGTTGACTTTTCTGCAGATACTGTAAGCATCAAGCAAGAGAAGGATTGCTGGTGGCAAAGCTGTGCAACATGTGAAACCTTGCACTGTAGTAAATGTACACATGTTTTTTGTTTTCCTCCATCAGGTTTGGCCACTACTTTGAGACACTGCTGTTGTGGCAGAGCATCATCATGATTGCCACCATGCTCATCATGCTCAACCTGTGCACCGATGTCCGCATGGCCACTGAGCTCAGCACCAAGAGGCGCTCCTTCATAGGTCAGAAACCCTCTGCAGGGCCTTTTTACAGTGCAGAGAAAGCTCTGTTACATCAACACTTGTGGGAGTGAATGAGAGCCTGTGTGGGAGTGGATGTGAGTGACAGAGAGAGGATGCACGATTGTGTACCAGAGTAGAAAAATATCTAAGAGCAAGAGATGTTGAGTGTGTGTAGGCAGGTGCATGCCTGAGTGCTGAGAGAAATGTAAGATGTTTGAAAGAACGTGCATGAGAATGTGTGAGCGAGGTTTAACGGGTCTCCTTACTGTCCATTGTTAGTGTCCACGGAGTTGGGAGTGTTTGAATGATCCAGTTTAACCTGCTTCAGCACTTGCACAGTCAGAGGTGGACAGCTTCGCCACTGAACTACAGCGAAGATTGTTGCCTGTGACATGGCGGGGGTCAGGCAGGATGCGCTATTTAACAGATCATTCAGAAGTGACTCTTAAAAGTCAGTGGGTTTTTTGAAGGGATTTTTGGTTAGATGCTTGAAATAAGGTCTATGGTTAACACAAGGCCAATACATTTTCACGCTTTTGTGCTATGGTATAAAATCCCCTGGTAAATACCCCACTCGTGATTTTTTATGTGTTTTAAAACAGGCGTTAACAAGTGTCTAAATGAGACTACAGAGGCTCTGGGATATTAACCGTCATCATGCCGAACACAGAGACTCATCTACTTCCTAGTCCACCTTTATAGCCTCATTATTTTTAAACCCATTCACTTGCTAACTCTACTAGCTAACTGATACAACCATGATCACTAGCTAGATCAGGTCACGCTAACAGGGAAGGGTTTTGTAGAAGTTGGATGTCGTGTTGATTTATTCTTTCAAACATGCAGAACAATGACATCAACACACACATAATTATAATTATAATTACACAAGCCATAATTACACAAGCCAACCACTGCTAATCAAGAATCAGTTTGCTTATACCCGGTGACACCGAAGTTATGGGACTGTGCTGTTTTTCATTTATAGCCTAACAATAGCATTTTACTTCTGGCAATTGTATTGGGGCTTCAAAAATCAGTTGTGTTCACAAGTGAACACAACGCCTAAGTGTCATAAACTTTTGTTGTGTGACACCTAATTTTTTGCAATAAACCAAAAACTTGTGGAAAAATCCTTCTGGCCTTTTGTCAAGAGAACCAGGGTGACGTTAACCTCTGGGTTGGCCTACAAGAATTTGTCATCCCTACGGCACTCTATATGCCTGAACCCACAATGATCATTTTTATTGTCATTTCCAGTTTACACTTAGCAGGCAGGTGACAGGTACCAAATGTTTTAGTCTAATACTAATATTGATTATGAAAAATCTTGTTACATTACAGATCCTAAGAAGGTTAGTAGGTCAAGTAGACATTAAACATTTTGCAAGGGCACTTTGATACTGTTCTCTTAACACTAATACTTATATTAAACGAACCCTAAATGGCTGCAGGTAAAAAACTACTGCTACAGTGCCTACTGTAAAACCCTCAGCTGTCTCAGAAAGTTATTCAGTAACCTACAAGTTGAGACACTAGATCCTGTTTATTTTTCCCCACCTACGTCCTTTTGTACACAGACATGGAACAGCCCGGAACAGCCCTCTGTGTAAAGTGTGTGTGTGTGTGTGTGTGTGTGTGTGTGTGTGTGTGTGTGTGTGTGAGACGTGTTGTGTGCAGAGCTTGGGTTTCCCATGAACTTGAGCAATGAGTGTAAATGTCTGCAGCCTGAGTGTCAGATGACAAAATGTCCTGTGTATGTGAATGAAAACAATGGACTGACAGGGAAACTGAACTAAATCAGCAAGGGAAGCACTAAATTTACTTCATTTGAAGATGTACAGTTTATACATATGCAGCTAGTAGCTGGTTAGCTTAGCATAGAGACTATAATCAGGAGGAAACAACTAGCCTTGTTCTGTCAGAGGTAACAAAATCAACTTAACCTGTACCCATAAAGCTCACTAATCCATGTTATATCTTGTGTAATCTGTACAAATACTGAAGTGTGAAACCAAGAAGTTGTAGTTTTTTGGGTGGAAGGACTCGGCAGGACTCTTTCTTAGCTAGGAGCAATAACTTGCTAAACTCTTGTCTTCACAGTGAGGTTGAGAACACTTTTTATGGCCATTTGCTCTACATGCTCTATAACCAGTGATATAATTAATCAGGGAATGAGACAGTCACTAGTTTTGTTGTGTCACCAATTACTCACGATTGTCTGAAATGTCTGACCAACTGTCACAGAGTATCAGAAGGTCATGCCCACACTGAGTAACCTGACACAATAGGGGTCACCTCTGATTTTGCTGAAAAAAAGAAGAAAACCAAGTTCTCTTTTGTTTCCTTGTTTTTTTTTTCCTCCTACATTTTTGTCTGTAGCCACAGACAATAAGGACGAGGAGGTCAGAATCCCTAAGAGGCTCTTTCTGGGTATGTACAGAACTTAACGTCTGCCATGCAACATCAGTTGTAGTCCACCTGCTTCTCCCTCTCCATCTGTGTCTCATGCATGATGACCCACTGTGGCGCTCCCTGAAGCCCAGCCAACTGGCTGACACCATTTACCACATGTTTAGATGAAGCATGACACCCACATGTAGTCCTCCTGTTACTGTCCAACCATTGTAGCCGCCGTGATTATTTCAGTGCATGTTACACTACTCACGCTCAGTAAAAATAAATAAATGTCATGCTTGAATAATCCATGTGGATGTGATTTTGCATGCTTAAATCTGTTCAGGAATAAATGAGCTCAGACTAGTCATTAGTTATCATTGATTTCCAGTAGACTAGTCTGTTTAATATCATTTGAAACCACCTCCTTATATCTTCTTCTAATATTTCTAACTTTATACTTATGTATGTGCAGTTTGAGATGTAAGAATCGTTTGATATTTGCTCTCAAACCAAATTTGTTTGTGTGTGTTAAATGAAACTGGCACATGCTTATCTTATCCCACTCTGACATGTCAATGCAAGGCATGCCTGTTTTATGCAAATCCTGATGCTAATGGATTTTAATCAATGCTATGCTGCTCACAGACTGTTCAAACCTTCTTCGAACTACACTTGGTTTCAAAATAATGTCTTTTAAAATGGATATGTTAAGAAACCTGTGGATTGCACATCCCAATCCAGTATTTGAAGAATACTTTGTGTACGTGTCTGCGGTCTCACAAAGGAATTGAAGGCAGCACTCGAAGCTGTGAAAATAATACAACACTATACTTTCTTGTTGAAGTTTAGAGCACCAATATGCAGCTTGTGGAAAGCAAGCTAGCAGTAGCATGGGATGCAAAGACACCACTTTGCTCCTCTCACCCTCCCTCTCTTCCCAGCCCTTCACCTGCATCCTTGTCATGTCCGATGTCACAGCTAATGCAGGAATCAGGAGCTTGCTAGCCTGTGAGTCGGCCATAGTGACGCCTTCGAGCTCAAACCCTCTGTGTGAGACCAGTAGTAGACAATAAGTATGTTCACTATGTTTACATTATGGATAGATCCTAGCTTCCTTAATTGCATTCTTATCTCCCTCACTTGCACCTTTTCTGTACATCTCAGTCCTACCCACATAAGATGCAAAGAACAAATCAGAAGAGAGAGGAATCAAGGAAACACGTTTTCAGAGACATGCAATGTTCTTTTCTCCAATCCTTCATCTGAAGCATCGAATCACCAGCTGATTCCTGATAAAAGGGTGTGTCAGCCCATAAAAGACTTCTGCAAAAGATGGCCTCTTGTATCCTTGCTCATGGCATGTTTAGACAGCCTCCTCACCCCTTTTTCTTCAGAGCGGGAATAAAAGCTCTAGGATGTCCTTCAAGATGGCAGAACAGAATGATTTCCCTATTGAACGAGGATCGATCAGTTAAAGGAATTGGCAATTACCTATTGAATAACACCTGTGAACACCTTCCTCCAACTTTGACCTTCTCTAAATAATTAGCAGGATGAGGTTCACTCAGAAACTTTAGACGGGAATATCTCTTCACTGCTGCAGGCCGTTCAATAGGTCTGTGTCACAGAAGGTGTTGATGGCACCCCTGCACATAAAAATATGCTTTCAAGGACTTTTCTTTTTGACTGATCTGATGATGCATGTGTTGTATTATTTCTTGTTTGTATGACACATATCTCAACTGCTAAAAAAAAAATTAAAAGGTGGGCACTATACAATAAGTGTGCACTATGTAATGGGACACAGCATTCGTGAGGAATGACTGGTGTTCCTGGTGTGGACACTAGATGGCAGAAGAAAACAATATTTGCTCAATGTGTACAGGCACAGAGTTCACTTGGCTCACGGTGTTAGAATATGTTACAAATTGTCCTTTTGAGACTGACTAATGCCCACTTGCTGATTTGGTATTAAAGTGCTATTTTGCAGTATTGTGTTGGTTCAGAAGAGCAAGAGCAGAAACGCATTAAGTTTCCATCCAAATCATGCCTTTGTTGTCTGTGTCTGGCATCAGAGGAGGAATAGGATCTTCTGTGGCCACATGTTGAAGCCAGCTCTGCAGCACCACTGGCCTGAGTTCCTGTGGATGGTCTTTGAGCTCTGCTAAGCATTATTAAAACTGACAGAAAGCTATGTTTCTTGATCGCAGCTTTGCAGGTCTGTGCCTGATCATTGATCATGGAATTATCAAGGGTAAACCTGTTGTATTGATAGAAAACACCCACAGATGTGGGTTGATTAGACACAGCTTCATGTTGGCCTGGAGCAGCTGTGGTAAATGTCAGGGTTATTTGATGGATATAAGCTCTGAGATGCTACAAAGGAACAGGAGGGTACAGAGAACTTAAAGTCTAACAAAGCATCAAATTGGTGTCGATGTGCAGCTGTCAGGTGAATCAGCTCTATGCTGTAGC